CACACATGCACGCACGCACGCACGCACGCACGCACGCACGCACGCACGCACGCACGCACGCACGCACGCACGCACGCACGCACGCACGCACGCACGCACGCACGCACGCACGCACGCACGCACGCACGCACGCACGCACGCACGCACGCACGCACGCACGCACGCACGCACGCACGTATACATGCATGCAGGCACATCAACATCACCATCATCTGCAAACAAATATTTTACGTCTTCCTCTCTGCTTCAGATGTTCTTTTTTCTCTTTATTCTGGCTAAGAATTCTGATAATACAACACTGAAGATAAGTGGTGAAGCTTCTTAAACTGTACTGAATCTTAGATGGAAGATTAGTGTTTTAAGGGCTGGTGTCTCCAAAATTCATGTTGAATTTGAATTCCAAGTGCACTAAGATATTACACTTTTGAGAGGTAATTGTTGTAACAGATCCTGTAAATTGGATTAGGTCACTTATTTAAAATGAGAATCCTCTTGTTTTCCTGTCTGTTTCACCATGTAAGAACGCACCTTCACAGAAATGTGTTCTAAGTCTGGCATATTTTGCTTAACATGGTATTCTCCAGATCCATTTTCATCTAAATAAAATAAATGTATCCTTCCTTATGACTGAATAAAATTTATTGTTTATTACCAAGCTAAACTAAGTACCTTAGTACAGTTTGAGGCAAGATCTTGCTATGTTGCACAGTTTCACCTGGGATTTACTATATAAACCAGATAATCTCAAACTGGTGGATACCCTCATCGTTCTGCCTCCAAGTGTTGGGATTACAGATTTGTGTTATGGTCTCTGGCTCATTAACATTTTCAAAATTATCTTTTGACTTCCTGTGTAGGTGTGTTTAGTAGCTAAGCCTTTTTCCCCCCACTTTCTTACTGTTATTGATTTATTGCTGTCATTGATTTAATTCCATTGTGGTAAATTAAATAAATGGAACATAAAAGTTTTTAAAACCTGAAATGTGATCAGTCTTGGAGAACATTATGTGAGCTCTCATTTGCTGATGAGTGGAATGTTCTGTACCTGTCTTTTGGTCTATTTGTTCCCTTATTGATTTTCAGTCTGCTGCTTACTGTCTAATTTTATGTATGGATTATCTATCTATAATTAATTATGTGTTATTAAAATACTCTAATATTATATTGTTGTCTATTTCTCCATTCAGTTCTGGAAATGTTTGTTTTGTATACTTAGTCGTTTTAGTGCTGACTATACATACATATGTATATATATATACATATATATATATATATATATATTGTTTTTCTGTCAAACTGATTGTTTATCATTGTATCATTGTACAAAGGTATTTTGTCTCCCCTTAAAATTTGACCTTGATTATTTCATTTGATATAATAATGCTGCTCTGTTTATCCACTATTTGCATAGAGTGTTTTTCTATCACTTCTCTTTCAACTTGTGCTTGATTTTAAAACTAAAGTGAAGGCCTTGTATATGGCATATCATTGGATATTGTTTTGTCTTATTTGTAAATCATTTACCTCTCCCTGTCTCCTGATCAGGGAGTTTTGTCTATTTAAAATTTTAATGGTTGATTGGTTTTGGTATTTTCTCTGTCTTCTTTAATTAAATTTTTTCATAAAGTATATTTTGATCATATTTTCCACTCTCCATCTCTTCCTATATCTTTCAAACTTTCCAACCCAACCAACTTCATGTTCTTTCTCTTTCTCTCTCAAAACAAAAAGTGCACCAAAAAAAAAAACAAAAATAAAAGCAAAGAAATTGAAAAAAATAAGGAAAACCAATAAGTCAAAAAAAAAAAAGCCAAAATGAAAGAAAAACCATGCATGTACCTGTGGATGCACTCTCTCTCTCTCAATCTCTCTCTCTCTCTCTCTCTCTCTCTCTCTCTTACACACACACACACACACACACACACACACACACACACGTACATACATTCACCAAAAAAACAAAACAACAACAACAACAAAAAAAACATGGTGTCCATTTTGTGTTTACCAACTCCTGGCTGTGGAACCTGTCCTATAGTGTGGTTGATGTACTCAGGGTCATTCCATTGGAGAAAACTGATTTTTCCTTGCCCAACAGGTATCAATTGTAAATAACTTCTTGATAAGGCATGGGACTTTTTACCTACTTCCCCTTCTCAGTGCTGAGATTTTATATAGTTTGAACCTGTGCATTTCTTATACATATTGTCACAAGACTCTGTGAGATCATATGTGCATTGGTCCTGTTGTGTCTGGAAGATGCTGTTGCCTTGGACTCAACCACCACTTCTGTCTCCTAGAATGTTGGCTCCTCTTCTTCACAGATCCCTGTGCCATGAGAATAGAGGTTTGATTTGGAAAAATAAAAAACCGAAATAAATAAATAAGTAATTTTTAAAAATAAGCCCATTTAGGGCTGACGGCTCCAAAGTCTCTTATTTTCTGCACTTTGTCCAGTTGTGGGTCTCAATGCTAGTTCCAACCTTCTGCAAGAAAGAAGGTTCTATGATGAGGGATGACCAAGGCACTGATATATGGGTATAGCACTATGTCATTATTTTATTAAAATACTAATAGACAGTTTCTCCCTAGGCCCATGTCCTATAGAGTCATAGGATTCTTGGCCACTTTAACAGTGTCAGGTATGGGTTCTATCTCATGGAGAGGACTTTAAAAACTAATCAATGTTATTAGTTGTTCCCATAACATTTATACCACTATTGTACTAGTATATTAAATAGTATAAACTGCATGTCTCTGTTACAGATTACAGAATTTGTACATGAGTTATAATGATGCTTACATTTCTTATCTAGAAGTGTGCAGAGTACCTTTAATCACTGTGATAACTGTCTTGATTTCTCCAAGTTCAATAACATAAGAAGTTGTGTCTTGAGCTATAGGGTCTTACCATCAGGTTATGCAGAGTACCCAATAGCCTTAGCAATTGCATGTGATGTTTAGGGTGGTCTGTTAGACACTTTTGGCCAATGACTCAACAAATATAAACCACTGTAGGTTTTACTTGGTGGAATAAGATGTCTAGTTGAAGCATTCTCTCCCCTATTATATGGAGGCTCTAGCTTCCTTTCAAATATATGTATATTTTAAGAAGTTTTTCCAGCAGAAGATTTCCATTTGACTTCCCAAAATGGCTTTAGTGTTGTCCCTCTCCATATCTCCTCATTTTCTCTGCCATCCCAGCCCCTTTTTCTGTGTCAAAATTTTTGCTTCCTTTGTGTCTTTGTTTTTTCTTTTAGTCTCTTTACATGTTGGACTTATATGTGTTTATATGTATTTCTGGTATGATTTTTCCACTCTGTGAGCTATCTCTCCAATCTTGGAACTATTTCATTTGCTTGACCAAAGTTTTCCATTTCATAAAGCCAAATCTATAATAGTTGACTTTATTTCCTGTGTCTTACTCAGAAGGTCCCTACCTAAAGTGTTTTGAATTTAACTATATGCCTATCTTTATCTTGCAGTAGGATAATTTTGTATTTTTCTTATTAGTTAGTATCCTTTCATTTCAACTGGATAGTTTCCCCTTAGCATTTATTAAAAGTTAATCTAGTGTTCATAAGTTCCCCCAAATCTTCATTTTCTTTTTTTTTTCCTACAGAGAGATCCTTTATTAAGTGGTGAAGAAAAGTTAAAGTGGCTGCTTTCTGACTCAGGCAGAAAACAGCAGCAAAATGACGTTGCAGGTGTAATTTTTAAAAAGAGAAAGAGGGAGCCAGCCAGTAGTGGCGCTTGCCTTTAATCTCAGCTCTTGGGAGGCAGAGGCAGGTGGACCTCTGTGAGTTCGAGACCAGCCTAGTCTACAAGAGCTAGTTCCAGGACAGGCTCCAAAGCCACAGAGAAACCCTGCTTCAATCTCCCCCCCCCCCAGAAAAAAAGAAGAGAAAGAGGGGAGGTCTGTGTTCGAATGGACAAGGAGGTGGTGGTATATTTTAACTGGGCATGTTAATTAGTTCCTCCACAAGGAGGCTTTTGATTGCTGGACTTCAACACTTTGATAGCTAGACTTTGTTAGTCAGCCTCAGAAGGAGGAAGTATCCAAGGAGGCTTTTGATTGCTGGACTTCAATACTTTGATAGCTAGACTTTGGTAGTCAGCCTCAGAAGGAGGAAGTATCCAAATAAGGGAATAGACCTTGGAGGCTAGCTTTAGGGATGTACTCTGACAGTTTTTAGCTAGACAGAGGGAGTGGGGAGAAGGCAGAGGCCTGCCAGAGCCATGCTCACACTTGAACTGGCCAGAGTCCCTTCAGAGGTAGATAGAGAACACCTGCCATGGGAGATGTGTGGAGATCAGAGGACAACTTTGGGGACTCTGTTTCCTCTTTCCCCCATGGGTTGCAGTTTTAGAAAGCAAACTCAAGTCACCAGGTTTTATGCATAGGACATTGTCTCCAAAGAACAAAAACAAAAACTTATGTATAATTTACCATCCCCTCCCAAACTGCTAAAAACATTAAGAAAAAGGGGAAAAGAGTCCAGGTGTGATAGATGGCTCACTCCAGTAAACCTGGCCACTCCAAAGGATTAGACATGACAACCAGTTTGCTCCGATTGCTAAACTGGTTGACTTGAGTTCAATCCCCCAGATCAATTGGTGGAAGGAGGGAACTGGCTCCTTCCAAGTTATCCCCTGACTGCCACATGTTGTCCCCATAAATAAATGAATGAATGCAAATTTTTACAATAGTTCTTAAACCAAAAACAAACAGAAAAGCCACGCCTTAACCATAGCTGCTCGCTAGCCTGTGCAAGGTCTGTGTCCATCCACAGCATTGCAAGAGAAAGGAGAAAGACATACCAGGACCCAAACCGTAAAATATTATCAAGTTAGATTAGTGAGACAATGTGTCAGAATTGTAGTTCTTTAGCAAGACAATATTCCAGGAATGCAAGGTGCTGGACTTTTGAAACCAGCCAATGAGATCCAGCATAAATCCAACTAGGAAGCTTGGTTTGTCATCATCCCCAATGCCTTAGATCCCGCGCCACCTCCACGCCCTGCCCCCGAGGGCACCTGGTGCAAAGGACCCCCAGTCACCCCGTGCTGCCGGTTACAGGAGCGTCTCTCTGCCACCTGGTCATATGTTACAAAAACCAAGGAGCAAGAGTTGCCCTGGTGCCCAGCCAGAGAGTGGCACCTCTGGGGAGGTTCCTAGTAGGTCCGGACACACCAATGCCAAGCAGGACACCACTGGCACCTTGTCATCGAGCTCCCGCCTGGCCCAGGCCACCCCTGCCAAGGAACTCATGACACAGAAGCAGCTGGAATTGAAGGTGGCAGAGCTGGTGCAGTTCTTGCTGATTAAGGACCAGAGGAAGATCCCCATCAAGCGGACCAGTATCCTGAAGCACGTCATCTGAGACTACAAAGACATCTTCACAGACCTGCTCAAGCTGGCTACCGAGTGGCTTCACTATGTCTTGGGGTACAAGCTGGTAGAACTAGAACCCAAGAGCAACGCCTATATCCTCATCAACGCCCTGGAGCCAGTGGAGAAGGGTAGGGAAATGAGAGGTAACCAGGGAACTCTCACCACCGGCCTCCTGATGATTATTTTAGGTCTCAACTTTATGAATGGCCACAGCATCCCAGAAACCGAAGTCTGGGATTTTCTACGTTATTTGGGAGTTTATCCCACCAAGAAGTATCTTGTTTTCAGGGATCCGAAGAAACTCATTACCGAAGACTTCGTGAGACAACGTTACCTGGAGTCCCGACGGGTACCCCACACAGATCCTGTGGACTGTGAGTTCCAGTGGGCTCCAAGAGCAAATCTTATTTGTCTTTCTGGGTTTGGGTTACCTGGGATTTTTTTTTTCTTTTTTTTTTTTTTAGTTCTGTCCGTTTGCAGTTTCAGAGGTTTAGTCCATTATCATCTTGGGGCACGCAGACAGACATGGTGCTGGAGAAGGAGTTGAGAATGGAGAAAGAGCTACATCTTGATCTCACAGACAACAGGAAGTGGTCTGAGATACTGGGTGTAGTGAGCTAAATCTTCATTTTATTAAGAAAGTCTGTATCTCTCCTTTATTTTTTAAGAACTTTGGGATTGATTGGATTTTCTTTTTTAGAATTTTTGACTCATATAAATGTATATGTTCGTATCATGTAACCAGCTCTACCACTGACATTTTTTAAATTTTCATTTGCCTTCCTATTTAAACCAGGGATTGTTTCAAATGTATACTTAATGGACATGAATTTTTTTTTTATTTTCCCCGTTTTTATTGTTGTGGTCTTTTAGAATCTGTATCACATCTGTCCAGGCCCTTCTGGCTTTTAAAGTCTCCATTGAAAAGTAAGGTGTAATTCTAATAGGTCTATCTTTACATGTTATTTGTTCTTTTTCCCTTGCAGAATTTAATAGTCTTTCTTTGCTCTGTACATCTAGTTTTTTGATTATTATGTGCCAGGGGGACTTTCTCTTTTGGTCCAGGTATTCTGTGAGTTACTTGTACCTTGATAGGCATATCCTTTTTAGGTTATGTGATTTTCTTCTGTGATTTTGTTGAAAATATTTTCTGTACATTTGATTGGGTTTCTTTTCCTTACTCTAATCCTATTGTTCTTTTCATAGTGTCGAAGATTTCCTGGATGCTATGTGCCAAGAGTTTTTTAGAGCTAACATTTTCTTTCACTGATGCATTCATTTTTTTTATTGTGTCTTCAGTGTTTAAGATTCTCTCCTCCGTCTCTTGCATTTTGTTGGTGAAGTTTCCATGCCTGTTCCAAGTCTCTAAATTTTTCATTTCCAGCTATGCCCCAGTTTGGGCTTTCTTTACTGAATCTGTTTTCACTTTCAGATCCTGAACTCTTTATTCATTTCCTTTCTCTGTGTTTTCACAGATTTCTTTAAGAGATTTATTCATTTCTTCTTTGAAGACATCGATAAGGCTATTTTGAGGTAGTTTTCTTGTGTTTCAGCTATATTGGCATACTGAGGGCCTGCTATGGTAGGGTTCCTGGGCTTTAGTAAGGGAAAGGGGTAATTGAATTTGGAGGAGCTCTAGAGAGGAGGTCTCTTTACTGCTTCCCTGTCTTGAGTCATGAATCAGGTTTTCATTCCAATCCTCCTTAGAACATGTTTTCAGGGTCTGAGTTCACATATAACTTCTCACTAAGATGTGATATATGTGGGCGGGAAAGTTGGTTACAGCAGCTCAGAAGAGATTTGCTTTGATCAGATTTGTGTTTTGTGTCATTGAGGATGTAGGAAGTATAAGAAAATACTAATCTTAATTATATAGCAATGGTATAAAAATGAACAGACTATCTGCTCTTTCTTTTTACTCCCAACACCTGCAATTTTTGTATGTTGGCTGGGCAGAAAGGGCTTTCTTTGAAATTTGTAAAACTTGGTCAATTCATCTCATGCATATGAGCTGATACAGTTGGAGCCTATTAATGAAGAAATAGACTCTGCATATTACTGCATTTTCTTATTACTCTTAAAGGGAAAAGCAATTTATATTGTTTAAATGCCCAAAATTTTCTCATTAAAGCCATTTTTAAACTTATAGTTATTTTCCTACTTTCTGAAATAGAAATATTTTACCATAAAATAATTTTAATTCCCAAGCATCATTAATATATTTTGAATTAAATTTTAACAGCTCTCTGGAGCTTTTGAGATACATAGGAATTTCCCCACCAATATCAAATTACCCTAGTCTACTGTGCTTTATGGGTTACTGTTTCTATCATATGACTTTTTCTAATTAAAGATTCATAAAAGTGTTATTACTTACAAATTGAAATACAAAGTATAAAGATGAAAAACTCCAAAGCATTACCTAAAACACTGATAAAAATTAGTTATATGGTTCATTTCAGAGTTCTTATATATGTTTTTCAAAAAATTATGACACTTTGGTTTATTAATTTGATTTCAAAGTATCAACAGCTATAAAAGCCTTTGAAATATGATGCTAATGACCATCAATGATGTATCTGATAGCTTCATTACTCTTTATTTCAACATTTTCTCAATTTAATTTTCTCCAAAGATCAACAATATAATGAATATTCCTGTAGGGGAATGTTTTGTATCATCAAATAGAGAGAAAATTCAAAAATTGGATTACTGACTCAAAAAATAACAGTTTAGGTAGTATTATTGCTAAATATATTTTAAAATATGCTCATTTTCCCTCATAGTATTTGTAAGAATTGCTATTTTATTTCTTCCTAAGGATGCTAATTGCCATCTTACAATAAATATTTCTGGTACACTGGGAGTACTAATTAATTGTAGTGTTCATTACTTTCTAGTCTACACTTTTTAAACATTTTAACTCAATTTGTTATTTTTAAGGTATAAAAATTACCTGTTTGTTACACTGTAAAATTTTCTGAGAAATTATTTCCCTTCTTATTTTAATAGTTACTAATGTCTGAAAAGGAAAACTGTTATAAATGCTTCATTTTTAAAGCTATAATTTTCATTTTTCTTTATGTCTTTAAATGATTCAGTAAAAGAAGCAAGGAGAATAATCATGTTTTTATTGCAATTAGATTCAATGAATAAAGTCAAAATGAATAATGTCTAGGGAAAATGCTATTGTAATTTCTATAGTTTGGATCCAAAAGGCACCCTCCATTGGCTCCAGCTTGGTATTACTTAAACACTGGGAACTTTTACCGGTGGAGTCCAGTTGAAGATCTTGGGTGATGTGGGATGTGCCCTTTCAGTGGCTTATGGGGCTCTCTCTCTTTTCTGGCCAAGAGTTGAATGGGTTTTCTCCTCCATGTTCTCCCTGCCCTTCTTTGTTGCCCCACCACAAGCTTCAAAGCTGCAAAGCCTAGTGATCAGGACTTCAAATTCCTAAAATTCTGTGCCAAACCTCCTTTCCTCTTTTTAAGTTGATTATCTCAGTTATTTGTAATAGTGGCAGCAAGCATTGATACTCTGGGTTTTTCCAATCTGTTTGTCCATATGTTTGTGCACGAGGTATTTACAAGCATTTGCTCGGCAAGTTTGCAAATTCATGCTATCTTAAAATTAAATATTAAGTGAAAGGAGCACTGTCAGAGACATACATGTCAGTCTCTGGACACATGGGTGACCCCTAGCCAGATACTTTGCTGGAAAGTCCTATGATTATGAAACTGACATTTTTAAAAATGCTCAGAACAAGAAGGGTGAGACTAATCAGAGTTCTTGAATTTTATTCAGTTATTCTATATTCCTTTATGAGGTGTTTATTTTAGAGGCAAGTACCAATAAAGACACATTAAGACCAAGGGCCATTTTATGCATCTCCTCAAAGTCCTAGAATTTTCTCCTTTAAATGCTAGACACAATGTAAAACATATACAGTTTTAAATTATTGAATAGTTATTATGATAAAAATAGTTTGTATATATGTTCACTGCTATACAAGAACATAGAACTTAGAAAACTGGGTTGAACTCATTAAAACAAGATGCTAACTTATGTTAGGAATACAGGGTGAAGCTGGGACCATGGCAAGTTCTGCAGCAGGTGAGAGACAAAGGGCAGGTAGAAGACAGACAGATACCTACAGACAAAACTTCTGTGGAAAGTTTATTGGTGGAAGGTAAGGGAGTAAGAGAAGGGAAGAGAGAAGAGATAAAGAGAGACAGACAAAGGGAGATAGAGCTGCCTCCTCAGAGAAAACACCTGGAGAGAGCAGAAGTGAGCAGAGCTTGTCTCTTAAAGAGTCAGGGTACTGCCTGCCATGTGCAGAGGGGTGAAGCACTGTACCCTGTTCCCAAGGGGCAGAGGCAGGTCTGCCTGGATTAATACAGCTTAATATTTAGACTGAATTTTATTAATTCAGTGTATTCCTGGCCATTCAAAAAGTTGAAGAGGTCAGATGTCTGGCAGAAAGGATTTAAACATGGTAAAAATCTAAGCAGAAAGTTATACCCAGATCTTTCAGCTCTAACATTCTATGTTAATCTACCTTTCACTTTGGTTAATGTAACTTAATAGCTTATTCTCATCAATTTCTTTTACTTTTAAGTGAGTATGTAAATGATTGCTCAGTTATCAAAAGTACATAATGGAAACAATTGTTAAATATTTAAACACTAATTTTAAAATGATCATGGGAGTATCAGAAATCTTAAGATAATGTGAAAACTATCTTTTTCTGGCTACAAGATTCATGCAAATCTCAGCATTTCAATGAGACTCTATAGCCAGATGTTGATTCTCATTAAGAAAGAAAATGCAGAAATATGGTGCCTATTAAACAGACTACTGACATTTGCTTGATAGTGTGTTCAAATCTTCTATGTCTTTGATTATTTTTCCTATTTGCTCATCAATTGTCAAAAATCACCAAGTGCAACTATACAGTAATACATTTCTGTTTTGGGGGATTTTGTTTATTTGCATTTTGTTATGTTTAGTGTTTTGTTTTGTTTTCTGTTTTGTGAGACGGGCTTTCTCTGTGTAACACCCCTGGCTGTCATGGAACTCAGGTTAGCCTTGAACTCACAGATATCCAGCTGCCTCCTGAATTCTGGGATTAAAGACATGCTCTACCATGCCTGACCTACATATCTATTTTTAATTCTATATTTATTTTTTCCCTCTCATGCTTGAATTTCTGTTATAAGGAGTGTTCTCATTAAACATCTGGTTCATGTCTTACAATTTGTTTGCTGTTCTAAAAACTACTATGGCAGAAGAGAGAGGTTGATTAAACAATATTTATTATCCAGGAATATGAATATAAAAACATGGGAGCAGCACAAGTGAGTCTTCCTTTGTAATCAGTGTGTCTGGTAGGTCAATGAGCATTACAACCTTCAACCTGACAAAATGGATTCTCATGTTGATCAAGTGATTGTTAGCAAAACCAGCCATTTGTTCGTTGTTGGATTGAGGATGCTAATTCTTTGGGGTTGATGGTCTGAACCCACCCTCAATTCCTGTTCTTGTGGAGCTTTACAACACAAAAGAAAATTTTTAGAAGCCATACAAACAGAGAAAGGCAGAAAATCAGCCATAAGATAGAAATCAGCAACATACCCATGAAAGAAAATCCCATTACTTTGCCTTGTTCTAATGGAAGTCCATCAAGATGGCCAGTCAGTCCATGCTACTAGGAAAGCATTACACAGGATTTTAATTCTGAGAGGCAGAATGATGCAAGGATGGGTCAAGAGAAAGCAAATACTGTCCACCTAATGAGCTAATCTTTTATTTTTATTTTATCTATGTCTGTCTCAGTAACAATTTGGTTTTGAATTATATTTTATCTATTGATAACATAATCATTGTTTCCCTTCCATTAACTTTTAACATAGTTAAATTTATATTTAAAGTGCATATTTTGCACAATACCTATAGTTGACTCTTTTCCCTGTCACTCTCTCTGATAATTTCTTCTTGTTATTTATAATGTTTATTTCATCATTTTAGTATATTTAATACAGTTATTAATATTATTGTATATCCAGGACTGAGGAGGTTGGCCTGTGGGCATAGTCTATGAGGGGATTTTCTTGATTAGTGATTCATGTGGAAGGGCCTAGAACACTGGGGTAATGCCACTCCAGGGCAGGTAGTCCTGGACTGCATAAAATAAATTGCTAGAATCTAGTAATAAGTATTAAAACTTTAAAAGAACCAGATAACATGGTAATAAAGGAATGAATTGCAGATTTTCATCTAATACTAAAACTATAACAGGAAGAGGACAAATTGAATGCACTACATTGATTAAATTTAAAAATAAGCTGAAAAAAAAACAGCTTTATCCAGAAACATACAATAAAAAAAGGGAAACATATTTTCTAAAGGAATTATTGAGCATTATGAAAGTGGTTATGTAAGTGTGGAAAAATACCTTTTTTTCAGCTATGGTGTTTTAAAAGAAAATATATTTTATGATATGTTTGTGAATATGTGAAAAGCAAAGTGTAGAATAACAATTGTAAGATTGGAATGAACCCAGACTGCAGTGCGTCCTGACATTATACTTGAAAGCAGTTTTCAATAATTTAGAGGTGTGATTATAAACAACTACTAAGCAATAATGACATACAGCAACATAAAAAAACAAGCCAAAGAGGGTTTAATATTAAGCTTTATTACATTGATTTCAAAGAAGGAAAGAGAAGGTAAATAGAAGGAAAAAGAAGGAGGACAATTAGAACTGTAACAAGATGGAACCATCAGCTCCTACCCATATCTATAATAATAATTACTCAGGTGTTCTGGTTATTCTAATTAGAAGTCACTGATATAAATGCTGAATAATAACAAAATGACTATGTTGATTCTACCTATCCAAGTGTGTGGTGGGAAATCTTTCCACTTTCTGATATCTTCTTCAATTTCTTTCATTAAAGGTTTAAGGCTCTTGTCATATAGGTTTTCACTTGTTTGGTTAGAGTTACCCCAAGATATTCTATGTTGTTTGTGGCTATTGTGAAAGGTAATATTTCTCTGATTTCTTTTGCAACCCATTTATCATCTGTATATAGGAGGGCAACTGAATTTTTTCACTTAATCTTATATTCTGTCATATTACTAAAGGTGTTTATCAGCTGTAGGAGTAAGAGGAACAGTCTTCCATTGCTAGTGGGAGTGCAAGCTTGTACAGCCACTTTGGAAATTAGTATGGCAGGGTATTTTCAGAAATTTGGGAATAAATCTACCTTAAGACCCAGCAATACAACTCTTGGACATATCCCTAAAGAATACACACTCATTCCACAAGGACATTTGCTCAATCATGTTAATAGCAGCATTATTTGTAATAGCCAGAACCTGGAAAAAACCTAGATGCCCAATGACTGAAGAATGGATAAGGAAAATGTAGTACATTTACACAATGGAATACTACTCAGTGGTAAGGAACAATGACATCTTGATATTTGCAGGCAAATGGATGGAACTAGAAAAAAAAACATTCTGACTGAGGTAACTCAGACACAGAATGATAAAAAGGGTATGTAGTCACTCATAAGTGGCCATTACACATAAAGGAAAGGATAGGCAGCCTACAATCCACAGCCTCAGAAAAGCCAGGAAACAAGGAGTATCCTAAGAGGGACATACATGGATCCCTGGGAATGTGAGAAAGACAAGATCTCCAGAGTAGATTGGGAGCATGGGGAGGGAGTAGCAGTAGGCAAGTATGAGTGGGAGGAGAGCAGAGAGGAGAACATGGGAACTCATGGGATGGTCGAGTTGGGTGAAGGACAGACAGGGAGAGCAAGGAAAGAGATAACTTGATAGAGGGAGCCATTGTGGAGTTAGTGAGAAACCTGATGCCAGGAGAATTCCCAGGAATCCACAAGGATGACCCCCGCTAAGAATCTAAGCAATAGTGGAGAGGATACCTTAACTGCCCTTCCGGTGTAATCAGATTGATGACTACCTTAATTGTCATCATAGAACCTTCATCCAGTAATTGAAGGAAGCAGAGGCAGAGATCCATAGTTAAGCCCTAGGCCAAACTCCTAGAGTCCAGATTGATAATATGAGCAAAGGGGTCAGTACTATGATGGGGAAACAGTTGATGCAAGCAAGTGGGGGCTCACTGACTCCAGACTGACAGCTAGGGAACTTGCATAGGACCAAACTAGCTCCCTTAATGCCAAGTGGCGTGACTTGGTCAGTTTGTGGGGCCACTAGCAGTGGAACCAGTATTTACTCGTCTTGCATGAACTGGCTTTTGAAGCCCATTCTCTATGGAGGGATATCTTGCTCAGCCTAGATACAGGGGGAGGGCCTCAGTCCCGCCCCCTATGATGTGGCAGATGTGACTTCTGAGGAGTAAAGGAGAGTATGGGAAGAAGGTGGGGGGAGGGTGGTCGGGAGGACAGGAGGGAGAGGGAACTGGGATTGGTGTGTAAAATAAGATTGTTTTAAAAATAATAAAAAATAATAAAATGACTTCAGTTACATGCCACTGGTAGGAAAATATAAAGTCAGATAAAAAAGATATGAACTCATTCATAGTAGATGTGAGATTAATGCCCTTTTAGTTGAACACACTTCAAAAGAAAAGAAAGAAACCATAAAATTTAGACAAACGAAAAAAATGCTATCTAACAAGGGTTTGGTGAACAGAAGCTGGAAGGCTACAGTAATTATTGCATGTGTATTTTTAAAAGGCAAGGGAATGGCTCATACTAAGTTTCTATCTCTGTAACTTTAAACTTATGCCAAGGTGTAGGTGTGTGTTACATGGGGCCATGGCAGAGGCCATTCACAGATTTGTGGTCCTTTTGGCATGAACAACAAGAGAAAATTTCAAGCTACTTTGAATAGGGAATGCCTAGAGGTTAAAAAGAAAGTAGAGTTGACACTGTGTGTGTGTGTGTGTGTGTGTGTGTGTGTGTGTATCAGAACATATTTGTGTAGAATACCCTCATAGATATAGATATGTATTGAACCCAGAGCTTTCTTGTTGCAGTTTATAGTTCTAGCTCAATCAAAATAATTACTATCATAAAGAAATAAATGAAAGTGTAGAAGTTAAGCTATGAAGCAAGCCCTGAATCAAATGATTAAAGATGAAACTGACACACTTCTGCTGCAGAATTAGGGTTTCTGTTTCCTCAACATTGGAGCTTGGAAAAAAAAAGAATATAAACCATGTTTGGGCAGAGGCCAAGGTACCCTCAAATTGTGGGTTGTAACTGGACCCCCTTGTCTACATTTTTCTTTAAGTCATCTCTAACTTAAGAACTACTTCTTAAGAAAAGTGGTTAATGAATCCATACCTCAGTACCCCTGCACACTCTTAATATCTTTCATGCAACACCTTGAGATGTTTCCTGAGGCAAAATCAGGAAATATAAAACTGATCCATGTACACCAATTCCCCTGCGTTTAGATTTCAAAAATACACCGGAGAAAGCAACAAAATCATACAAGTCATGCTTGAGTCCCTGCCATAATGGTTCAGAAAAATTGAAGATTCTCTGTTTATGAGTAATGTTTCTTTTGGTGTAGTATTTAAGTATATGTATCTCAACTTTTCAGTCTATCTTTTCAGTTATCTTTCCGAGATAAGAACATAGGTTCTCTGTCATGCTGGATCTGACTATGCATCTCAGGATATGTAGGCACGTGCCTAGCAAGGGAAGTGGGGCTCCAGCTGACTGTTTCTTCCCCCCAGAATAGAAAGGTGCCAAGAAGTGAAGGCAGAGAGTGGACCCTCTCTCTTAATAAGCAGGCTCCAGCCTGGGTTCACTGGGACAAAGGAGTTTTTCAATAAGGGTCCCCTGCAATTTTTGTGATATCAGGGGTCTGGTTTCTCTCTGTTCTGGTTCATTTGGCCTTCCTTTGCTCTCTGTTCCCCAAGCAAAGTACATGTGGAGGAAAGTTTTGCGTACAATGAACCCACTTTGACGTAGGCATCAGGCATAGCAGCCCCTCCTGGAGGGATAGAAGCCCAGGAGGCAGTAGGGGAGATGCAGAGGTAGAATTTGGGATCCTCGGGCTGGGTCCCGGGGCGGGGCGAATACAGGGTCAGCCAAGAGTATTGGTCCAAGACCCACAAATACATCAGGATTTTCCCTCCTCCATCAGCCTCCTAAACCCCAATGAGGTCATAGCGATGAGAGAGAATCAGATCAGCAGAGAGGGGGAGGAAGAGGACAACAACGGAGAAAAAAAACAGATGGAAAGAGGCCATCAGACAAGGTCGCGTTTTTCTGGCGACACAGTAAGTGCAAGGAATGTGGTGCTGAATACCATCCACCTGCTCTGCCTGGAGACCTAGGGATTCACAGAAGCACTTTGTGCTGCCAGGGAAACAAAGGAGGGGAAGGCAAGAGGACTGGCGAAGAGGGGTTGCGAGCAGCCCCTCTTTATCTATAGGAAGCCAAGCTCAGTACACCCACTGGGAAAGAGGAGGGAGCCTGAAAGGTGCAGGAGGCTCCTGGGAGCGCAGAACCCAGACGTGGAAGAACTCTGGACAGCTCCTTGCAAGCTGCCTGGGCTCACATACGGAGTCTGCTCTCCAGTGCCCCGCTCCCCAGTGCTGGCTTCTAGACTCCCTCCTATCGCAGCGGCTCCTGTGTGAACGTGCCAGGGGCTGGAGCAGCTTTCTCCTCTGGCCTGGCCACGGAAATGGTTCTCTGGCTCTCGAAATCCCGACCTTGTGGATAATGTTTTGCTCGTGAAAAGAGAAAAGTTTGAGGATCTGGACTCTGGTAGGGAGTGGAAAGGGCTAAGGAGGACTTTGGAAGAAAGAAGGTGGATGATTGGCTTCCTTCTCTGAGCTGGTAGGAATGATGACTCAAGGAGGATGTGCACCAGCAGCCAGATTATTGGGAGCCTCTTGGTGCTCTCCGTGCTGGAGATAGGGCTGGGGGTGTCCAGCGTGGCCGTGGGGGCAGTCAGCTTCAGCCTGGCCCTCCAAGAGCACACACCGCAGCTCGGAGACTCGTCCCCGGTATGGAGCGGGGTGTGTGTACGTTGAGCCATTTCACTCTCTCTTTACCTCTTTTCGGGGATGGTCAGTGTGTGTGCCTTAGTCACTGTCTCCTGGGGAAAGAAAATTATAATTCTCCTCTGCCTGTAGATTCGCAATGACAAGCTTGGCTGATTTATATTGTCTTTTTATGTACTGGGGAAGCTTTTTAACTCTTACCTGGGCTTAAGACCCAATTGAAGGGCTGGCTTTAAACTTGAGGAGAGGGTCAGTCTCCACTGGCTGATTCTGTAAAAGACTGTCCAGTGTTAATCATTACAGTGTCACACCTGCCAAGGGTAAACTCACTTATCGTTTATGTCTTTTACTGAAAATGTTACATCATTTTATTGTACCAAGAACAAGCAGAGTTTATGTGGTCAGTATGATCAAAATGCACCCATGCAACTGTGATTAAAAACAAAAGGGAAAGTGAGCTGAGACTTTGAAATGTCTTAGAAGGGGGTGAGCATCTCTCCAGAAAGCACTACTTTGAATTTGCCTTGCTACCTTTCTGATACTCAGCTCTGAATATTCTGTTGTTCTAGGCCATCAGTTAAACAAAGGTAAGGAATGTAATGCCATTCTAACTGTAGAGTAACTCACTTTAAAGAGTGCCTACCTGTTCAGAAAACAATGTCGGTTTCTTCAGGTCAGGGGCAGATCTAAAAGCATCTTGTTTAGGCATATAGGATGAATTGCAAGGAAGCAGATCCTTTGCTGCCACCAAGAATCAATAAAATAACTACCTGATCATGAAAAAGGCACCTTTTTCTCTTTGTGTGTGTGTGGTGGTGTGTGGGGGGGGGCGCGCGCGCGCGCGCGCGCGCACACATGTGTGGGTGGGGTGTGGGTGTGTTTCTTTCTATCTGTCCAACCACCCTTCCTTTATTCCCTCTCTCTCCTACATCTTCAGAGCTGTCATTCCCATCTAGGTCTCTAGCTTGATTGCATTTTTTCGGCATAATTCATTAGGAAGCTATTCTGTTGTTAACAATCCATACTGTATTTAACAATCATTATTTCATCTCTAAATTACTAAGAAAAGGACCATTTAGAAATTTAAGAAAATCCATTCCAAAACCATTCATAAAAGGTATTCTGGTCCTCTCAGTGCTGTGAAATTGTATGTTGGATAATTATCTTTTATACTTCCCTACCCCCCATCAAGTGAGATATATGTTTATAAATTACAGAACTTAAAGGATTAAAAAATGCAATTCTAGAATTGAATTCTCCCAAAAATCCTTTTTCTTAATTCCATAAATTTCTAGTTAATGCCCACTAACTACCTAGTTCTTCATTATGGGAATCTTGCTGATGTAGGTAATAAGTTTGAGTTTGAAAGAATAAGAGGCACATATTACATTTCACATCTAATATGTTGCTATAAATATTTGAGAGTTGTGTTTGTTGTGATTATCAAATTTTCTACTGGGCAACTGTCAAAATAAAGTGCAATGTCAACATGTAAAGAAAGAGGGAGAAATGTGATCTCCTGATGGTTCAAGAAAGACAAGCTTCATATAGGCAAGTGTCTCCCCATTTCTTAAACAGGAGAAATTGAGTGAATTAAAGTAAACTGTCTCTAAATGATATCTTAAAATCATTTTATCTTTTTTCATTTTATCTTTAATATCTTTTAAGTAACTGTTAGCTTGTTATTTTTAAAATATAATTAACCTTTTCTCCCTTCCAAGCAGGATATTATATAAATGAGCTAATGTATTCACATAAGCAAAAAAATTTGATTCAGGTCAAAGAAAACAAGCCATTTATATTGATATAGTTATTACTACAAACAATAATTTATACTTTAATTCATTTTTATAGTAAGCACAATTCACCAAGATTCTTGGAAGAATATTTTTGAATACTGTAATATGGTTTGGTAAAAATCAAAGGATTCAGTCAACTGAATGAGTTATTTGGAAACTGAAATGTTCAAATTACTCAGTTTTTTTTTTAAATCCAAAACACTCAAAAATTTAAATTTGTAAAGAAATAAATTCCCAGTTGGAATAATCCTGGTTTTGAAGTCATAGATTTGCTAAGCATATTGCTGAAATGATTTCAAATTCTTTTGTGATATATTTTGGACTATCTGTTCATTCCTTCTGTGGTAAATCCATATAACCAATATTTATAGAGAACGAAATATGTGAATGGCATTTTATTACTCACTACAGAATCAATAAAAGATGAGTCAGAATACAATCTTCAAAAGGGCATCACCTGGCAAAGGAAACAAAATGGGTATAAAGCTGGCACTGGCAGAGGTAAGAAGTTAAAGTATGACCTCAGAAGATAGGGAGTAAAAGAGGAAGAGAAAAGCTGGCACGGACAGTGAGATACCAATGGAAGTACTAAGAGTCTTTAAGGTTTTCTGGAGTTGAATAAGTATGTCAAGATGCTAATATTTCATGAGGTAAGGTCTTAAGGGAAACTAACTAGCTATAAATCCCAGAACTACTATCATATAGTTGGGTGACTAACAAGTTTTCTCACACAGAAAAAGAGGGTTTGGCACATGTATCAATTAATGAACCTTTTACAAAAGTGCATGATATATCATAAGCAAGAAATAAATATGAGCAACTTGTCCTGGATACCTAAGATTGCAGAGGTGGGTGTAAAAGTGAGAACTTCTGGAGCATCATGGATGAAGGCAATGATATAGGATGGGATGGGATGTAAAAACTCCCTTGTTTTTGTAAGAGTTAGGTATATGAGAGGAAGATTAAAAACAGAAAGAGACCATGACATGCTGTGTGCCAGGCTGAAGCAATAGATTTTCTCATGTTTCTAATAATCATCATCATAATAGTAATTCTTACTTCCTAAAGAGACTCCAGGAAGACAAAGAGGAAAGCTCAATATAAAAATCAATAATTTAATTTATGAATTAAAAGTCCGTGTTTTGTGAATATGAATGAGAGACACAATAATTAACCTGTCAGAATATAGAGTCTAAATAATACTGTGTTTTGATTAGTGCATGAAGTTTTACTTCAAACCATTAATATCATTATTCCAGATTTCTGAGTTAAATTTACAGTCAGTGGAAATAAAGGTTGCAATGCAGAGGATTGTTTTTATAGATAGAGACTGAAATTATATGTAGGAATAGTGCATGGAAGTTTTAGGAAACTAAATGATTATTTGGCCTCAAATATGCTAATTTTTGGTGACTTAAATTGAAGTAATACAAATGTAAAGGGCTTTAAGGATGTAATATACATGCTTACAGAGATGATTTTTGGGCACTATTTCACCATCAGAAAAATAATTTTCAATAATCAATCCTAAAAATGAGTGCAATTAGAAGGAAAAAGATCCTTTAATTTCATTTCATAGAGAAAGAAGGGTATAGATTTTCATAGCATTTTTGTTCTTATTTGACACTTCATTATAGCTAAGAAATTAATAATTAAACCAAAAAACAAGAATGCATAATTGTGAGGTGACAGTGAATATACCATTGAATAAGATGCTTTGGAAAAGTCAGACATGTGAGGCAGAATCAATTTGAAAGATTTATTGAATTGAACTAATTGGCATGATTGTGTATCCAAGTTGCTGTGTATGTCACTATCTTAGCCCACAGAGCATCCTTGACAATAGGGATGGATTCAGTAGCATGCAGGCGCTGAACCACTTACTCTGCTGTTGGTCTAACTTGGTGTTTAGAAGTCTAGAGATTCATGTGGTAGCATTCAGAATTGTCTAAGTCTGAATTGTATTATTAGTACAATTGATTATTATTAATAATAAATGTGATTATTATTGATCTCATACTCTAATTCTAGCCATCTTTATCTGATACTCATTTTGTAAGGTTTAATTCCTTAAAGTTTCTATTTTTTGGTTCTCCCAAATGTAAATTATAAGGCAATTCCTTTTGAAATTTTTAATATTTTCCTTTTGTGAATCATTCAGTTTGAATAAGTTTATCTCACATCCTCTTTGATGGCCTCTATCATTTTCATGAAGTTGTTTTTAAGGTCATTCTCTTCTGCTTCATCTGCATTGGGATGTACAGATCTTGTGTGTGTAGAATCCCTAAACTCTGATGGTGTCATATAAGTCTTTCTGTTGTTGAATGTGTTCTTATACTGTAGTCTTTCCATCTCTTCTTCCAGTGGGTACAGGTAGGGACTCTCTCTCTCTGTGTGTGTGTGTGTGTGTGTGTCTGTCTGTCTGTCTCTCTCTGTGTCTCTCTCGCTGTCTCTCTCTGTCTCTGTCTCTGTCTCTGTCTCTCTCTCTCTCTCTCTCTCTCTCTCTCTGTCTCTCTCTCTTTCTCCTCTCTCTCTACTGGAGGGTGGATGGGCAAGACAGGAATGGCAGCAGATGATGCTGGCTGCTTTGTACTCAAGTTTATCTCTTATTTTATTGAAGAATACTTGGCATTATATTTTAAATTTACCTACTTAATAACTATGATATTTTGCCTGGATAAGATGTGTAGCATAATAACACAGTTATCAGTTCTACAGACTGTTAGGTCATCATGTCAACAACTCAGCCAACTATAAGCCTTTTGACATTTTATTTCAGCCAACCAAAAGACTTTTTATACTTTATTTCAAAGATGATGTGCAGTATGTGAT